ATTCCCATAATTCCTGAAGACAGAGACTGTGAGCTGATTCTACCGACAGAGCACCAAGGGACCCACACAGGAAGCTGTAGTTCCTGGGATGGAACACCTGAGCTGGATACTTACCTGCACTGTCAAGGTACTGGAGAGGTACAGGTCGAGAGGGAGGTGTGCTATGAGGCAACGTCATTCCTGCGGCAAAACTACTCTCAGGAGGAGGAAGCCGGAATGCTCTTTCCCAGTCCCACTCTGAACTCCCAGAAGCTGATGACAACCACAAAGGTCACAGGTAATATGTGTGCTTTTTTTGATTACTTGCTACCTTTCTGTCTTAGTGTATGAAATGCTGTCAGCTACTTAGGTACCTGCAGCCGTAAAGGTGACTCCATCCTTTGCATAAGAGCAGGTTATCGACTAACCCTTTGCCCCAAAGTGTTATTCTCTTGTTGCCTGTACTCATTTGGTCATAGCTAGAGGAATAGAAGAGTAGTTTACTATCTAACCCTATAAAAACTTTCATTCTCATCCTTTGTGGGGAGGAGAAAAAGTGACTGCCAGTACCAGGCCCCCCTTAGAATTCCCACAGCCAGGGACACTGTGCCAGTCATAGCAGCTGTGGTGAGTTGCTTAGGCAGGCAAGGCCACAGTGCTGAGAGAGGACAGACAAGCTGAAGGTTTAAAAAAAAGAAAGCGAAAATCTTGGAATTGCTGTAGAAGAATATGTGGGAAAGTCTCTGCTGTGGATATAAAACAAGGGGAAAAAATAGTCACTCACAGAAGGAAGGGCATATTCCTTACCTGCTTTGCCAGGGCTGTTTTAAGGGTTTTCATAGAATCACAGGGTACCCTAGGCTGGAAGGGACCTCAGGCCATCATCTAGTGTGACCTGCTCAAAGCAGAGCCAGCTCTGAAATCAGATCAAGTTACTCAGTTTGTTAGTTTAGACCTAGTTTATCTAGTCAGGTTTTGACAACCCCCAGGGACACAGAGTGCACTCCCTTTCTGGGCTCTTGTTCCTCTGCTTGACTGCCAGCATGGTGAAAAGATTTTCCTTATATCCAGTCTGAACATCTCATGCTTGAACTTAAGCTCCTTACCTCTTGTCCAGAATGCATGTCTGTGAAGACTGTGGTTCCATTGTTGTGACAACCTCCATGCAGGTATTGCAGAGCTTCTAGGGGTGCCCCTGAAGCCTCCTTTTCTGCAGGCTGAACAGCCCAAATCCCTCAGCCTCTTCACACAGGGAGAGCCCTCTGAGCATCTTGGCTCTCTGCTGAACTCACTCCAGTCAGTCAGTCTCTTGTTCTGGGGGTCCCAAAACTGTATGTAATATTCTAGATGCAATGTTCCTTAGTCTTCTTTATCCTTCAGGTGCTGGATCTCATCCCTTGGAGAGAAGCCAAATCAGTGACTAGACCTGTCCAGATGATCCCAGATGGAGAAGCGGAGCTTATCAGAAACTCCAAATTCTCATGGACTTAATTTTTTTTAAGCTTTGACAAACACACAAAAGTGGTAATGTGGAGAAGTCCCTCCCCTACTTCCTCTGTGTTCACATCAGCTTGATTGTCTCCTTTGTCCCTCCTGCCTGAAGCCTTCAGGCCTCGATTTGTGTGCAAAGCCCGTGTGGGACGTGGTGTGGAGCATTTCTGAGCTCTAGTGCCATTTCTATATTAATGACAAAGTGTTATTTATATTTTCTTTTTAGAAGTGACCTCTTGCTGAGAGGTAACACAGTGTGTTAAATAAGCCAGGCTATGTGTAGATGCTGTTATCTCCTACTTAAAGGAGTCCAGCCTTTGATAAGCTCAGGGCTACACCTGCCTTAGAAACCAGATAGCACCTTGAAATATAGTAGTCCAGAGGGATACAGCTGCTGAATGGATGTTCAGATACTGACTAATCCCAGTAGCAAATCCTAGCAGCCAGCAAGTTATGTGAGCGATTTTGAGGGAGTTGAAGCATTGGACTGTCTCCTTTCTCCTCTCCCCTCCTCCCCCTTTCATGCTGCTCTGATGGTTTGGCTAAGAAGGGTCTCCTGCCACGATGATTAGTTTCAACAGAGTGGGGGTAGGGAACTGGTAGCTCAGAGTGTTCTCATCCTCACTTCCTGTATTTAAACCATGGACCTCATTGTATCTTCTGACTGGTGAAGAATTACTGGGGACCTCTCCCTCAAGCAGATGCTAGAACAAAGGGCTTAAGAAAGGGTATTACCTTTGTAGGTAATGAACCTTTCCTTCCATAGGAAGTTTTTCAGGCACTTGTAGCCTCTGTTATGGCTGTGAGGAATGCTGGCAAGTGCAGTGAAAACAGAGTTTGCAGTGTGCTTGCAGCTTTGCTGGCTCACTTTGGAAACAGGTCAGAGGGTTTCTTGTTTCCTTACAGGCTGCAAGCATGCCTAAGGGAAGCAGTGCCTGTCACTGTGCATATGGGAAAGTGAGGAACTTGGTTTAATCATTGTTTTCTTCTTTGCTGTGGTTGATGTAGCTTCCATAGACCGATCTGCTGGAAAGGTTTCTTGGGCCCAGCCAACTGTGCTTCATTTTTGTCTTCTGTACAGAATGCTCTCTGTACCCCATTAGCCTGGGCACATACTTTTGTTCTTGTTCTTGTACTAGTGGGGACGTTTGTTATCATGAGATAATTTATGTCGTCACTTCTGATAGCAATTGTTTCCTGTGGAAACAGCAGCTTCTGAGTAAGAGGCTACCATAGCATGGGTTAAATTGCCTGTCATGCTGCATGTGCCTGAGGACACAGTGTCATCCTGTGGTGTATTCACAGTAGGAAATCTTCTAAAGGGAAACTAAATATTTAATGCCCACAGTGCCAGTCTTCTGAAAAGATTTGTCCTAAGTTCAGTACACTTTGGAGGTACTTAAAAGACATGAAATAGAGATGTACCTTCATGTTACATATTCTGCCAAAGCAATGTCCCTGACAGCACTGGGCTAGTTGTGAGACCCAGCAAAGTTAACTTGTATTCTCTATAGTCCCAAATGAAATATTTTAAAAGAAGCAAACATCTGAGAAATAATACAATCGTCTGTTTACTTTTGCTTTCTGTACCCAATAAGTTAGGAAAAAAGTTATATTTAAAGGAATTCACGTTACATCTTTTTAATCAACAAGCACCAAAATCCAGCTGTTCAGAGAATTATTACAAGGCAATATCTGGGTATAAGATTAAAAGAAAAATTTCAATAAACACATTTTCTGTGTATAAAGCTTATTAAAAACTTATTCATTCTCTGAATGATGGAAGTAAGTGGTATGTGTTGGGAGAATAAACTCTAAAGGTTTGTGGTTTTTTTGCTTTTTTTTTGTTTTGAAGTCTTACCCTCTCCTTGCTCCACTAAAAAAGAAATGCATTGTGTAGAAGCTATGGTATAGTAGCTTGGTTATTCTGCTTGGTGTTTTGTGAGGCACTGTAGGAGGCCACCTAAGCTGCATTGTACTGTGTAACTACATGGCACGTTGAGGTAAAATGTGGTTCTAGAAAAGATTTGAATATTCTGGTTCATGGTGTTCCTGGGTGTACTGGTCTCACTCACATGCTGTGGAAATCTCTGCCAGTACAACAGTCTCTGCAGGCCTTACCACAGACACCCTTCACCTGGTTTCTGTGTTGGGTTTTACATTCAACATGTACTTACATCCCTGCTACCTGTATGTCCATGCAGACTTACAGGCTACCTGGCCATGATAGATGGTTTTTATAACAAAATGCCTTTCTACTACTTACATGAACAGTTGTCATTGTGTTTGGCTCATGAGGCACTATTTAAAATGTTTTTAATTAAAATTATAGCACTTAAAATTGTTTTGTATAAAATTTGCTGTAAAGATTTGTAATATGGTCAAAGGGCTCTTTCTCCTTCATTACCATTTTTAAAAATGTTTTAAAAGCTAGAAAGCATCTTGTATATATTCTGTATATGTATAGCAGCACATTTCATTTATGGAAATATGTTCTCAGAATATTTATTTACTAATATATTTATCTTAAGCCATGTCTTATGTTGAGAGTGTGTGACATTATTGTAATAATCATTGAAAATCACTAACACGAGGCCCTGTAAATACATGATAATTGCACACAAAGATTTTACAGTACCTGCCGACCAAAAATGATTTAAGAGAAGTTGTAGTTACCTGCAGTTTTGTAAGAAAGTGTACAAATGTCTGTATTAAAAGAAAAAAAAAGGCAAAACCACACAAAAATACAGTTTTATTGCATATACATGTGGGAGTTGTTCTTCTTGTTTTGGGGGTAAGGACACAGATAGTTGTTCTCAAAGTACAGTCCTAGATATGCTGAGATGAACTCTAATAGACAACATATTTATTTTTTTTTTATAAATAATAGGTGGATATGTAAATACATACACAGACATAGCGATCATAAGTGGTTGTGGTTTCCTTTGGAGGCAACCCATAATGTTCTTAGGATCATTCAGTTTTCACTGAATGCCACAGTTGAATTTACCAGGTGTTGTGCACAGTGTCAGTCCAGACAGTTGTAACTGTCCCCAGGTGTGAGTGAACAGGGAGGGTGTTCATGAGGGTGCCTCAGTGGCCCTGCTCACACCTGGCTGTGGTTGCTGTTGAGGTGGGGGAAGCTCCATTCCCTGTGGGGGAACAAAGGTTACAGAGGGAGGCAGGCACAGAAGGAAAAGCAAAGGCTTAGGAAAGCCTTTATGTTTGGAACCTGCCTGTTCCTTGTGGCAGGGCAATTTAATTCTGGTATAATTTGAGGTAAAAATAATTTACTGTCCTGAAATAAAATGGTTTTGAGACCTGAACCAGCATGATGGAGGTGGACACAACTGGATGAATCACAGCTTGAATAGTCAAGCTAGATCCAAATCCTTGCCTTGGATCATGAAATCACTGGTCTCACTGAAGTGATAATCAGTGCTGTGCTACTTGTTTTGTCAGCAGATAGCACAGTTTGACCAAAGATATCTATGCAGACTCTGAAAGAGGGGGGCCTGGGGATATGTGGCAGTGTGTGTGTGTGTATACATTTATGTGATACATGTTTGTATGTTATTGTGTAAACAGTTTGCCTTCATGCATATTTCCCATCCAGAGATACACACCCACACAAATACACACAAAAACATCTTTTCCAGACTCCTCCTCCAGTTTCTTCCTTCTCCCAGAGATTTTTACCTAGTAATCCCCTGGACTCTCCCCTCCTTATCCATGTTCAAGTGCACTGTAATTCAGTCACCTCAGGACTCAGCCAAGAAATGAGCCTTAATTCTCTCCAACCCCCTTTGTACGTGAAAACTCCATGTTTGGGATGACAACTTGTTGAACTGGAGTGTCATTTTGCATGGGACCCTTTGGGCAGGAGGATCAGTTATCATCCTCATCTCAGGTACAATGGGAAAGCCTGTCTGTATGCCAAGACAGGCACAGTAATGGAAGAGCAACAGGCAGGCAGGAGTTAAGAAGCATCAGCAAGCACTTCTCAATTAAAATACCTTTTTCCATTTGGAAAACGGAATCCTGGCAATCGCCAATGATTATAGATATGTGTTTTATCTGCAAATCAGGTCATTAAGCAACTGTTTTTACAAACAGCATAAAACTTGCCATCTGTGTTTGGCTGATGCTCTGTGTTGACAGGTCACATCTGAGTCTCCTTCCTCTTCCCTTCCTCCACCCCCCCACTTGCTATTGTTGACTTGTGTTTTGTTTTCTTGCTTCTTGTTCTGAAGAAAAGTGTGAGGTGACTGTGCCTTTAAGAGCAGGGCATACCTTACTCTTGCTGTCCCATAAAATAATCAGTGAGCCCATCCTCTCTTTCTGTGAGAGAGACAGTTGTGGGCTGCTGGCTGAACTTGGATGTGATGCTTAGTTGTGTGCCTGATACTCTGTTTCTTCTTTGTTGTGGCTTTTTTAAAATGACTAAATGTAAATATTTTCTGTCAGAAATGAAAATTTTGATACTTGGCGGGGGACAGTTCTTTTTTTCTATTGAGGTTCAATGTTTAAGGAACAAATTTGTGGCAAAATGAGAGTTCTGTGGGCACCACAAACCTCCACAGAATCTCGATACGGTAAAAAAAGACAAGCAGGAGCAGACTATTCTTAATGGATTGTACATTATAGTAACACTTGGTGTTTCTGTAACATTATCTGCAATATCATGTGCGTCTGTCAAATCCTGTGACAGCTGTTAGGTAACGTTTGTTGTTACTTCGGTAGTGTGAAGAGAAAAATACCCTTAAAAGGATGGCTGTGTTCATACCCCGTGGAGCCAGCCTGGCCTAATTCTTTGGCCAGGGAGACAACAGCATACCTGAAACTGGATATTTTATCTTGCAGTGAAAGTGCCGTGCCCCTGTGACTTAAATGCTTCATAGAAAAGCGTCTCTTTCAGAATCAAGAACACATTTCTCTCATGGGGAATGAAACTGTTGCTTAGGAAACAGCAACAGAAAAAAAGGCAACAGTTCCCAGAATAAACCAAAGTGCAAGAGGAGTCTCATAACCGGAATGGCAAGAAAGGAGGGCAGAGTAACCTACCCTGTCTAAGGGGAGGCCAGTCCCCTGTGACGCGTTTCTAAGAGAAAAAGAGAGTTTGAGTCTTCACATGAAAAGCTGGAGACAGTTTGGGTATCTGACACTGGTATTCTGGTGTTTACATAAAAGGTCACTGAAGATTTCCTAAACTGTAGCATTATTTTGGTCAGGAGGAATTAATTAAAGATGAATCTCACAAGTAAGTGGAAACAGCATTACATGTTACTGCAATTCGTAAAGAAAACACTGAAAGAATTGTCACAGTTCTTTGTAACAGTTTGAAAACAGGTAAACTGAAAACTTTCAATTTGCTGTTACCTCAGAAATTGTGTCTCAGAGCAACATTATAGTTTATATATGTAATCATTCTCAGCATTTCCAGCTCAAATATTCTCTTCTAACCTCCACAGCGGACAAACCCATTGTAATCTGCTGGTGAACTGCAGCAGTTTCTGCCTCCTTTATTCCATGCTTGTATACACGTTAGCAGTCCTAACTGAACTCCTTCTGCACAAATGTATTTATTTTTTCATAATTATTATTTACAGCCATTTGTTGAATGCAGGGTGACCAGCTATAAACACAGCACATATTTCAGAGGTGAGTCATCTCAAGTTTGATTTATTCTGGTTTCTTGACAGCCTTATGTGGTTCATGCCTTTGCATTTGTAGTAAGTTGTCTTGAGACTGAAATTCAGAATGCTGAGTTTCACCCCAAAGCACAGGTGCTCAGTAAATTTGAGAAAGTATGAGCTGCATGAAATGTATATGTATCAGGAATGTGTTGTTATAGGAAAAATAGTGTGGTCTGAAGAGAATTCTGTTTTTCACTCTCAAGGTAGCAGAATTCATAAATGAGTAGCAGAGTTCATGAATGCCTAGAACAATATTCAGGTGAAACTATCACTGAACTATATTTCATTGGAAGATTGTGAAATATTGATGCAAGGTATTAAGAACTAGTTGGACAAGTATTTGTCAGTTGTTTTTGTAGTTCACCCTTCCTTTAGGCAAAGTGGTGCACTAGAAAAATCTGTTAGTAGTCCTTCCCACTGCCTGAGAAGGCTCATTAAGCAGAAGATGAAAGTGGAATAGCTAGTCATGCTCATTCAGTGGCAGCCATGTGTCTGCTGATGGGTTTGGTCTGTAGTCATACAGGCTGCACATTCAGTACAGCTGCCAGGACTGTCCGTAAAAATCTCCCATTTATACTCCTGCCAGGGGGGTTGGAATACAAACACCATAATTCTGCAATCCCACTAAGTTGTCTGCATGAGCAGTGTGATAAACTTCCTCAGCATTGTACTGGCTGTAGAAAATCTGGCAGAAACAAGTTCTAAAAAGGACGATGTTAATGCTTTGAAAAAGCAGATTATCTGTTTGAAGGAAAAAAATGGTCCAGAGAGTATATGCATATGAATTTGTAGAATCTGATGAACAGCCTAATACAAATACAAGCTAGAAGTGAGATCAAAGGAGGTAAGTGCTTCTTAAAGCAATTCTTTCATCAGCATCTATTTGGCCATAGAACTGAGTCTGAGTTACCCTGTTCTCAATGACCTTCTGTTATAGATACCAAAAAAGTATCTTTGATTTTTTTCCTACAGTTACAGTGTATAGAAAATTTATTTTTCCCAGAGTGTAAACTAACATCTTTTCTTCCTACAAAATGTTAGCAAGATAGAAGCATAATATGCTGTATTAAATAATGCATTTCCTATACATACATAAATATATATATTACTATGATAACATATCACACATTTTTACATAACACAGTCTCTATTTCCCCACAACATAACAATATTAAGACAAAAATACATATAAAATCATTTAGTCAACAAACTAAACTAGTTTTAAACATAGATTTTGAATTAGGGAAGGCACTTGTCCAGCTGGCCCCTTTCCACCTGAGGTCCACGTGCAGTGTAGGCTCTGGCACACAGTGTTGAGGCGGCAGCTCGCAGATTGCTGCAGTGGCAGTGCCAGCAGAAGCACTCACTGCCCCAGCTTCTGGGGCAGACAACTGTCTTTTTCCTATGGCTTATTGTCCACTTGGTTGTGTCAGCTCATCTCTCTCTGCAACCACCCAATAAACAACATCAGAGAACTCATCTCTGTGAAAGGTAACTCAGAGAAGAAAAGGCGATGACAATTTTTGACCTGTCAGTTTATTGCAGCACCACACAGCCGGTCAGACCGACAGCAGAGTGAGAAGGGGGCCGGAGCTGGAGCTGGAATGCATGTATGTATAGGAGGAGGCATCTCCTCAGGATTATTTTGTTGTCAAAACAGTTGCTTTTGACATTATAGCCAATGTCAGACTTGCAGCCTATCCAGCCTGTTGAGGGAACTGATAGGCAGGACATCAGAAGGCCATTCAGATACAATTCCAAACAAATTCTTCTGCTGCAGTTATTTTCACTTTGCTGAAGAAAGTAGTGTAAACAGTAACCTCCTGAGGTGTCCGTGCTCCCCAGCTGTCAGCACTCAGCTGCTGAATCATGTGGGATTACAACAGTTGTGCATGTCACACGTTTTGTTTCTCTCCCCCCCTAAACCCTTACAGCAAATATCAAAAAGTGCTATGTTAATGGATACCATATACCTTGGCCATACACCACCACACCCTGAAGTGCTTGTACGAGCAGTGTGAGTGACCAAACCACATTTGGAAAAAATTCACAGCAGAGATCTACCTGATCTTTATGGTCTCAGGCCTGTACAGTAACAAGTGCTATTTAAGGGCCCCTGTCCATGCATTTCTATCTATTGCTCTGTTTGCAAGCATTAGAGGTATCTAGAATCAGATAATCTGGAAGATTTGGAGGGGTGGGGGGGAAATGGGGACCTCACAATTTCCACTGAGCTTTTATCAGTATGTTACCCATGTACTGTCCAATACCTTCTGCATAGTCATGTTTTTTGTTGCCATGACCAGTTAATCTGCTGTAACTGCTGGTTTTATGGGTCTTTTGTACAGAAATTTGATAAGCATTCCCTAAGAAAGGCCCATGAAATGTGATTTTATTATATAAAAAACAGTTGAGAAGCTAAGGGACTGATGCAAAAATCTCTTTCTAAATTCTCTAGATTTTTCATTAGTGGCTTCAGTCTTAGCTGTTGTTTTCAATGCTTGTCTCCAACTTTGTAGTGAACTTAAATTCTTTACTAAGGAAGAGAAGCCTAGCAGTTCTGTAGTTTCCTGCAGTAGGTAAAAATCAGTCATGGGGCATTCCTGATGGTTTTTTCAGTTTATCAGCAGTAACTAACTGCTCATGAACATTTGATGAGGCAAGCAAGCAAAGCTTCACCAGTTTGTGATAAGCACTATGTGCTCATAACAACTCTTAAGGGTCTGGGCACCACACTGCGATTCTCTCCTCCTGGTTTTCTATTAGTGCACCACATTAAGCACGCTCAGGAACCAACCTTCTTTGTTCTGCTATGAATCTGTGAGTTGGACTCTTTCTCTATGCAGCATGATGCAAAGCCTGACTGCTAAAAAGGCAGTTTCAGAATTTTTGTTGGTTTGAGGCAGATAATGTGTTTTGGTCTAACATGAAGGCACGGAAGAGAGAACCAGCGGCGTATTTTTTACAACTCGTCCTATCTTGATTTTAGGTAATAACATAATTATAGTTTCCTGTATTCTTTCCAGCAGCTCATGCAAGAAAGTACTAGATGTTCCCATGATATTCCATTTTTGATATAAACAATGTCATAATTGCTGGCTTAGTAAAGGTCTTGTTTCTTTTAGGCACGTATGGTGGCATTGTTCAGCTGTTGCTGGCACTCATCTGTGCTACATAAATAGAGCTGGATTGAATTCAGTTCAGGTAAAAGACTAGATCTACAATGGCAAGTAAGGCACAATATTTCATTGTTTAATTCTTAGATGCCCTATTTTTTCAAGGAAATCTGTAGCCCACGTGAGGGGGAGGGAATTATATGTTAAAAACCATAAGGGCAGATACTATAATGAATTTGAACTTGGTGACAATTTTCTTTTCTTAGTTACCTTTTGTAGATGCTCTTAATAGATGTTCTCTGACTGCATGTATGGTATGTCTCAAATATGCAGACCATTAGTATATGTTTAAACTTAACCAGTTTAATGGTTCTCAGTGAATTTCCTCAAACATAGTTTGAGGAGCTGCTCACTCAGTAAACTTTGCCAGTCAGTTTATCTGTCTACTGCATTGACAGTTTTTCCTAAGTATCTTGATGCTCTGAACTTGTTGAGCCTGAAAGACTCACTGTTGATCCCACTTTAGGCTGCTGAGATTAATATCTGTAACTTCAGAGTAAAATTTGTTAGCTTCACTGTTTAAAAATTCAGTAGATTTACAGTATCTCTGGGCAATCCTTTAAGAAGCCCTGAGCTTAACACCCAGAATGGATGCTGGACTTCAGGCTGGAGTACAATGGTTTTTTAAAGGATCACTGTGAATATGAACAAAATTATCATAAACATCAGTGAATGATGGGTCAGACACAGTCATTTAAAAGGCCTCATTGCTCATGCAGGCCTTGACCTGGTGAGCAGGACTCCATCAAAACATGTATTTGCAGCTGATACTTGATAGAGCACCTCCTGAATTTGATTTTCATTTGTGCATCTCTGCTTGTAGAAACAGAAAATGTAGAAACAGCAGAGCACTGGGCAACCAGGCTGATATATTTTCCAAGTACCATTTAGATGTGTTTACATTAAGGCCAATAAGCTCTGGTTGCTGTGGCAGCTGAACACGTTATCTGTACCTACCTCTGTCTTCAGCCTTGAGAATAAAAGGACTAAAGTAGCCTGATAAAATACAGTGATACAGGAAAGCAGGACACAATAATTCCTCAACCTGCAGATATTCACTCAGTTACCTCTGGCAGGGGTACAGGACATTTTGAATTTTACAAGTTTTTACATATATTTTAAGTGCAGTGGTTTAAAGGCAGTAATTAAGAGCACTACAGATCTGATGAGCACCAGATACTTCAAAACTATTGCTGCAGTTAAATCCGTTGTCACTAATATACCCAAGAGAACAGCAGATAGGCAAAGTCACTCAAAGGTCTTTGGAAACAGACTTTTTGGAAAACAAGTATGAGACTGGGAGAAAAAAAGGAAGGACTAATCTCAAGTCACCTGGATTTTAAGGAGATCAATTCTTGTAAAGCAGAAGGCACTTTAGTTTCCCACGAGGGGGTTGCAATCATCCTGCTGGTTTCGGAGCTTTTTCTTGAAGATGGATATGGATGTGGATGGCTGGTAAAATATACTCCAGATCTCACCGGCAGTGGTGACATCACTGCAGTCTTCAGTGTCACTTGTGGATGGAATCTGATGGGATCTAGGAGACAAGGGTGAATTCACTCCTGTATTAGGGTGCTTGGGAAGCCATAGTGATCTGTCTGTAGTGCTGCTGCACTGGGAATGCTCACAGCTTCCTCTACCTCTGGGACACCTTTTCTTTCTCCCTCTGCACAATACAGAGGTTTTTGGAGCATTTCTTGGTTGTCATGACCAAATGAAAAGTAGGTATTCTACTGCCAGAATAGTTGCTACCCTAACAACAGCAGTGACATTAAGATAAGAAATCTGTACAGACTCTGTTACGGGTTGCTATTAATACAAATTAATTTCCTTTTATATTTAAGCTTGTTTTTAGTATGTAAACACAATATTCAGAATTTTGATTTGCTGCTAACTCATCTATCATTTCATTCAATGAGTGTACATCTAGAGGACACAAAACTTACTTGGTATAAGCCTAGAAAAATAAAACAAAAATTATATTGTTTTTATTAATAGGCAAAAAAACCATCTGGTTAAGTGTCACGTTATAATACAGAGCTGAGATCTTAGTTCTCTGGGGACAGCTTTGCTCCACACTCACCTCATGGTAACGTGGAGAATTATCTTTGCTATTATGGCTGTAACACTTAGGATGAGCAGTGCTGTGAGACTGTATATTGTCCACTCTGTAAAAGAGAAGAAGAAAAGGAGAGGGGGAGGGGGGAAGTTGTTAGTACATTCAGTTACTTACAGTTTTTAAAGTAAGAATATTGCACAAAAGAAACACGCAGCCTTCTGACACTTTATTCAAAACTGTAATTTGAAGATGCCTCAAACCTACAGGACTGGCAGAAACTGTACAACTTTCAGTCAGAACTGGCTTTTCCCTTGCAGGACTGCTCCCTATAAAGTTGAAAGTGGGCAAAAGTCAAAGCATATACCAGTAAAATTATCTAGGAAAGGCACCAAAACTTAGAAGAAAATTTAAAAGCAGACTAGAATATATACTACAGTAGCAACTGTTATGATTGCAAGGAGGTGGTCCAGGTTTTTATCAGTAATTATGTAGTTATGTAAGAAATCACAAAGTATGGAATGGGAGGAGTGTCTTCTAGAGTCCTGAGACAGGTGATCAGTATTTGTGGTCTGCTCTTGGCCATTGCACTTTATATTTCAATTTAGTTCTGGTTGCAGGAGCAAGTCAAGCAGGACCCATTGTGTCATTGTAACATCAAGTTCTTGACACATGGCAGTTCTCAGTGGCACCTCCCCTGCACCCATGAACTTGTCCAGCCTTCTTTGTATTATTGATGAAGCTTTTGTTAATTGGGGTGACTGGGATGCATCCAGCATTCAAGCTTTTCTAGACTCTACAAAAGCTTGCTCTTTTTTTTTCAGCAATTTGTGCCACTCTCTAGTATGCACTGGTCACTGAAGCTGATTCTAGCGAGGAGGCTGCTCTGACTCACATTTTATTTTGATGTGTTTTCCTTCTCAAGAAAGAACTCACCATCTTCACACTATTTCTCATTTATGCTGAGAAGTAAGTTTTGAAATGTAAGGAGAGAATCACAGTTAGTGCTAATTAGACTACATGAAAATTCATCTATTAGTAAGATGCACAGTGAATCAGATAATGTGGAGGGGGAGCAAAGGAAATAGTGACTCCAGACTGTGCATTGGCAAAATGTTTTCCCTGTTTCCACACTTTATTGTAATATTACCAGGCATGGAGCTGGTAGGATGACTTGGGCTGGTTGTGATGACATAAAGTATCTTTGATGACCGAGCTGCATTGATGCTGAGATTTGCTTGTTCATTTATCCTCTCTGAAAGGGTGTGATTCACTGGAGTCTTGTTTTGATGCACATTGTCCTTCACAGCTGAAAACACAAGAGTATGATTAAAATAACTTCTTAACAGGTGTAACTGGACTTCATTTTGTGCTTGTAAACAGAAGTGCTGCTCTCTGGTTTACTTAAGAGAACTCAATCAAATTATGTCTGATTCCAGAAGAAACCTGTATTTCACTAGGTTGGGGTTCTCAGAATTTTTCTGGAAGCTGATTGTTCATCATAGCAGTAGGTACAACTCAAGGACCAAAACGTGTTCTCTTCATGACTTTCGATCAGAGAGGAATAAACTGTTGGAAGGAGACAAGAGGAGCTAAGATGCTCCTTATTTGTTTCACCTTTTGTCATTTTCTAATCTGTTTTGATAGGCAGGTATAGGATTGAATTTTTGAAAACCTGAACTTTGCTGTTTGTGACATAGCTGACTGGAGTGTTCCAAATTGAGAGAATTTTTGGCAAAGCTTTTACCCACTGTGCAGTGGCAACAAGAGAGATAAAACACCTGCTAAATGAGAGTTAAAATATTTGCTCTTTCATTGCCACTTCAGAAATCTCTTGTGTGAATTAAATGTTTCACTGAAAGGTAGAAACAGGAAAGTTAGCCTCTCACCTCTGTATCTGATAGCAAATCCCTGGGCTTGATTGATGTCATCTGAGAAAAAGTACAAAATGACAAAATCCAGAGAGATGTTAAAGGTGTGGGGAGGCCGGTTCTTGCCATTAAAACGAGCTAGAACATGATAGGTATAGCCATCCAGCAATTCCACCATATCTGTAGCATCTTTGATTTCAAAAAGGGCAAAGCTGAAGTGGATTCGAGATGCTCCTGGAACTTGTATGGTCCAATAACAGACTTTGCCTGTGCCATATGTGTCAGGAAAATCTGGGGAGTAGATCACAGCTGTAGCAGAAGTGTAATTCCCTCCACAGGCACCAATAAGGGCTGTGAAAACAAGAGAAGAGGGAGAAAATGGGGGAAAAAAAAAGAGGTTACACATTAATTTTGCAAAACTTTAGCACCCTGTAGATTCTAATAGTTGAATGTGACTTGCAAGTGCAGACTTGCTATGCCAGCAGGATGCACTGTCTCTGGGACTGGTATTCTTTACCTTCCACAGCACTGGGAGCACGGCCATTACATTGCATTTCCTTGGAACAGGCTCCTCATGTCTCATTACTCAGACCTGTGCATCAGTCTTGAATACTGAACTGTCCTTTGTCCTTGCAGGGAACCACATACCCTTTCCCACATCCCCGCAGGAACAGGATAAAAGATAAATCACTGGTTCAGGGGCTTCTACTCCATCCCTTATGAGGCAGGGAGGCAAGTGGATTAGTGATTATTAACTCTCACTGTTGAAGTACTGAAACTCCTTCACAGCTGTATCAAATTGAAAAAACAAATATTCACAGAACAAATGAGTTTGGAAGGGACCCTGAAGATTGTCCACTCAAATCCCCCTGCTCAAAGCAGGAAACAGTGTCTGGTTGTATTTTGAGTCTCCAAGGATGGAAACTCTACAACCTGTCTGGGCAATTTGTTCCACTGTCACCCTCACCATGAAAAAAGTTCTTCCTTTAGTTTAAATGTATTTTCCCGTATTTCAGTTTGTGCCTTTTGACTCTTATCTATTCACTAGATAACACTGAGGAGAGGCTGGCTTCATCTTTACACCCTCCCATCAGTTAGTTACACAAATTGAAAAGGTTCCCCCCGTGCCTTCTTTTATCACAGCTGAACAATCCAAGTTCTCTCAGCCTCTCCCTGTATGAATGATGCTGTAATCCCTTAATCACCTCTGTCGCCATATATATGAGCTTTTCAAGCCTCCTGTCTTTTGATCTTGTCCAACTAATATCTGACCTTACCTTCACTAAGTAAATTGAAAAAGATCCTGTTACAAAGTCTAAAGAAAAGATTTGTTGCTACCTTTTATATTAGAAACAAGTACATGCCCAATACATTGTTATATTCTCTGACAACTATCCAGATTCCCAGTGCAAAGTTAATTACCAGTGAATCCAGAGAGCAACTCAAATGGCAGCCAACTGAGGATGCATATCTATATATACACGTATAATTTTTAAAATATATTAGAGAGAGGTATATATGCATATATATGTATTATATATATATGCAATATATATGTTATATATATATATATATTATATAATGCATTTTATGTCAAAGCTGTTTGAATCAAAGTTATCAAAGTTATCATTCCCCAAAGACTGAAGAATCAAAGTAGAATTATTGTCTCTGAAAGCTTGATTAAAGCCCTGTAAGACAGGCCTGTGAGAATGGAAGTAAAGGAACTGTTTTAAAGTGTCTCAGTTTTCACAGGCCTCTGAGAAAAAGTTTTAATAAATACAAATTAAAAGGAAACTCTGGGAACAAGAAGTAGCATATGTCTGCCAGAAGAACACGTGAAAATATTTCTTTTTCTGGAGCAGGGCCTGATCATAGCCTTAACAAACCTTGTACTTGAGTGTGCACTGGGAAAGACCTAATAGAGGAACTGAAAGAATATGAAAGAATAAGAACAGAAGGAATGTGAAAGACCCCACAGAGGTACTAAGGGACATAGGGGAATTTGTGTTTGGCACTCACTCCACGCTAACACAGCTGGTGATTGAATCCAATAGATAGGATTGTTCAAATAGATAGAACAGATACAATTGATAGAATTGAAATTTGTCACCGAGATACAGAATTTGAAAATAGCTTACAGGTATTGTTACATTTGACTGTGCTGTTTGTAATTCCTGAATCACAAGAAGTTTTTCAAGCTAGCAATATTAACTAAGAGTGCCAATGACTAGTGCTCCACAGATGCCTAGCAAAGCACAGCATTGTCCCATATGGAATGGAAATGCTTTCCCTCTCTCATTTCCTTCTAGAGCTGGCAGAGTTCTGTGTTGTGGGTCTAAATGTTACCGCATTAGACTGTGACAGTAACACATAAACATAAGGGTAATGGGGTGAGGGGGAAGGGTGTGTGTGTACAAGGATTGTGGTGGAGGTTCTGGGGATATGACATAATGTGAAACAGAGACATGAGGGGAGCAGGTGTTGCTCACCAGGAAAAGCAAACAGGTAGCTGCTACTAGGATGACCTCTCTTACCTGTCCACAGCTTTCAGGTAAACGTTGCTGTTTACCAGAAAAGACACTGCAGGTCCTCAGGGTAACATTTTGCTGAGCTCTTGGTCACTCTGGAAAAGGAAAACTACAAAGGAAGACTTCACCCACTGAGGATTTGATAGGCCAAGAGCAGAAGGAAACAGAGGATGCTGCAATGTGATGCTACCAGTGCTATCTCAGCACTGGAAGTAACATGCAACTCTGGTGCATCTTTTCATATCTTGGGGAGAATCTGGAAACAAGCAGAGTGACTAATTTCTGTCCCACTGAAATGTCTTTCTGTCTCGCTAACTGGCAACCTGAGTTGTAAAGTATGGAGATGGGAAGTTTGTTTGTGTGATCAGAAGGTGGAATATGATGCCATTTTTAGTTCCAGAAAGTCTGTAACTCAAAAGGTAGCTTCTACATCAAAGGCAGTTGAGATTGAGAAGCAATGATATGTTGGTGCAGTTTCCCAGTACTCTCAGCTATACTGGGAGCTTGTACTGCAGCCAGACAACCAGTGACTCACACCATCTACCTCTGGAGTTACACAGCTGGCACTGGTACATAAACTGAAGAGTAGAAAGGAGGATTTCTATGTATAAGACATTATGAAATCAGCGATGGTCATAACAGCAACCTAATTTGGTTGTACTTTCACAGTATATTTCTCTGTCTCAGTCCTACCTGCATTGCTTTGCATTGTGTTAACTGTGTCATAGCAAATATGTTTAATTAAAAAAAAAAGAAGTTGGTGGATATTCAAATTTTATTTGAGGTGCCTCATTCATATATTTACTCTCTAGTAAGATCAATTCTTAAGGTGTCTTTCTGTTGTGACATGCTGTTTCTGATAGCTGAGTTAGTACTACTTGTGAGGAAGTAAGAGAATCTCCAGAGCACGAGCAGGCATAGTTTTTTGGAAGAGCTATTTCATGTTATTAATGATTGAGAATCTTATACAGAAATGCAAAACAGCTTTATCTTATATTGAATTTAGGTGTTTTGCTGTTTTGTGTGCAACAGTTCTCATTGTACTTAGAGCCTTTTCCCTAAATTGCTGAACATTTGAGGCCTCTCCTTTGGGAAAAACTGAGCCTGCTTCAATACTTACTGTCAAAAAGAATGACTCTGCCATCCCCACCGCAAGGCTGAGTATGGTCTCCAAAGCAAACACTGTTGCATTCCGTACTGGCTGCCTCCCCGTATCTCCAGTAGTCAGGGTTATTTCCGCAGAAACAAGCATAACCTGATTCCATGCCTGCAAACTTTGACAACAAAGATGCATAAGAAGGGAGGAATAACATTTGAAGGAGTGACAGCGGGAGGTTGTATGAGCAAGAAAGCTGGCAGCAGAATATGTGTGTTTTGGAGAAGTATGATTAGTCAGAGGAACCACCACAAACTGTTTTTGTTTGAGCTGTCAGGATGCTACTTCAGGCTAGTGAGAAACATGGAATGGAGGACCGTTAGGGTGCCCTGTCACTCAGAACTGCAGTAAGCAAGCATACTTTCTCCTGGCATCCTGGCATTTGTCCACATTGCTCTGGTTGCAGACAGAGGGATATAGATCTCTTGGAGTGGAAGTGAGACCTTAGACCTCCTAAAGGTTTAAAAAAAAAAAAAGAGGGGGGAACAGGAGAAATACGAGAGAGAGCTCTAGGCATACTGCTGTCTTTGAAAACATTTTGTAAATGTATGTCAAAGAAATCACCTTAAATTGTTGACTTCGGCAGGAACTGATGCATGTTTGGATGGTGAGTTTATTGGAGGTCTCACTGGTGCCAGTCAAAGGTGGTGGTTCTCCATGGTCCTTGTAACACCCCAGATTCCCTGGCACTGGCAAGAGCAACAGACAACAGTCATTCTAAAGGTGTGCCTGTAAACATCCAAAACACAGCCCACTTTATGCACTACCTGATTACTAAGCAGTGTGTTCTGCAGTATGGGAAGTGTTACTCTATGCTAGATCCTTGTCATATTTTCCAAACATGCACAGGGATAAATGAAGGGGCAAGAGTACCATATCTTCTTAGCAATATACCTGTAATACTCTCTGGTTGGTTCCAGTAATCTGCAGTAAAATAGACAAGATAAATACCTGGTTCATTTCTCCTGACAGAGACAGTTAAAAAAAAAAAGAAAAGCATTAAGTAGTTTCAGAGGGTTTGTGGGTACTTTTTACTATGAGCATGCATATTCTAACAATATAAATTAAACTATGTGAGTTCTGTCTGATCTTCAAAACAATAACATTCTGGAAGTTTTCAAAACAGGATATTTGAGGAAGGGAACCTAAGGTGTTTTAGAATGGAGTTTGGCAAATTTTATGGGAGGGACTGTGCACTTATATAGGGGAATTTCCTAATATTTAAAACTTGAATTCTGAGATGAATTTGAAGTATCATACAAAGAGATAAAAAATGAGCAATATCACTTTAAAAAACCCCTATTTTTCTATCTATTTACATTAATACAGTGTTTCAAGGCTCCTTGGTCACCACGGGAGCTCAGTTTTCCCCCTTCAGTGCACAATTTGTCCTCTGTTTTTGTTTTGTTTTGGTTTTGCACTTTTCATCAAAGCACTGGAATTTAGCCATGACCACCCCACGGAGAGGATGTGGAGTACAATATAATACTGGGCTAATGGCATAAAATTACCCCTTGCCTACTTGTCATATCTGCTCAGATACTTGAAATTAAATCTATTCCCAGTTCTGTGGTAAGGTAAGTGTTTTATTCCTATGCCATATTGACAAGGATTCTTTTTTGTCCACCTAACTGCCACAGCTCTGCATGACCTGTGATGTGGTCAGGGAGCTGCATTAAGAGTTTTATTTATTCAGTCATTTTTTATTTCAGTACCCAGTAAACATAATGTTGCTTCAGATATTGTTCATAATTTCCTAAGAATGACACAATTTCAATTATAAATACTTGCATGGAGTTATGGCTTTGATATGCCCTGCAGCAAAATGCATATAAGTACTGAGACTTCAAGTTACAGCCTGATTTAACATACCTTTGGAAATCCCCATTTGCAGCCCCACCCCAGCTGAGTACAGCTGGGCAGATAACTCTCAGAGAGCTCATTTTTTTGGCATTGTGCATGCTTTCACTGCTCTGAAAAAGCTTCCTAGTTAACCAACCTAGCTCATTTCCCTAAGACACCTGGGATTTCGTAATTTTTAAAAATTTTTGAAGTAGCGTTATTGGTGAGACCCTTCAACCTTATCTCCAGAGAATTAGTACTTTAAAATATGTGCCATGCTAAGAAATCTGACAGAGTAATTTGAAAACCTTTTAAATTTTGTAACTAAATCAGGCGTACATCCTAAAGCTAATTAGTCTCTTTGGTGTCCCAGCAGTATTTTAACTTTCTTTGCTCTTAATATTTAGCCTACTAAAGAAACTTGGCAAAAAATGAGGTAGTCAGTGTTCTGCAATTACTGTTCATGCTGACCAGTGATGTTTTACTATTAAATTGTCTTCACCTGTTTGTATTTATTTGTTCTCTTGTGCTTAAGAGGTCACCTCTTTTGTGCAAACATACTATTTTTCTTTTAAGCAGTATCTGACATAATGAGGTCCTGGCAAAAACCACAGCTTCTGCGTTTGACATGCCAAGGCACATGTATTAAAACATGGAATTAATCATTTTGAGCTCAAAATCATGTTCCAGCTATGCTCATCTAGTTGTCTTTCAAGAGCCTCCTAGCCTTTTGCAATGGTAGTGTACACCAGTACACTGCCTCAAATGGTTTGAGCTCTCTGCTCTTGTGTTAAAATGCAGACAGGTCAATCTTACAGGGTGATCCTGGCTCTGCCATTTAACACTTCATCGACATCTCAGTCAAATCTATTACATTACATACATGCACACTGGAAAAACGATTCCAGTAACGAAATCTGTTTATGGGAAGAGAGTCACACAGGTCATAAACACGGAGATGCAGTTAAGTGGGATAGTAAGCCTTTCTTTTACATTTTGGGAGCATAAGTTGTTATTTCCTTTGAGTTTAAACCTAACCTCATTAACAAGGAGACCAAGAAAGTCAGGAGTAGCTGCGACATTGCAAACAAACCATGTAAAGCATTCAGTTCTGAACTGTCCATGTGAGATGCACATGTTCTCTCAGGACTCAGAGCTGCCGTCTTGACTCTTATTTTGTTTTTGTTCATTCCAGTCTGCTTAGCAGACAAGACATTAAGAAGAAGAGAGGAAGAAAAGGAAAGACTAAGCTCCTACTGGGGTAACTACTGCTGTCTTCTGTGATTATGCTCATCCATCTTCCTCCAGCACTGCTAATTTCTGTGCAGCGTGTCTGCACATGCAGAGTGCCAGAACACACTTCTGACTGAAACATTTAGTGTTACGTCTAAATATTAGTGAAGGAGACACATGATATAATCATGTGAAATCATCACCATAATGCAAAAGTCTTAACTGTAGATTCTTAATTATTGTTACAGTGAATCACTGCATGCAAATCTCTCTGGGCAATCAAGACGCTTCATGTTGTTGGCATTGTCACGGTGTTATGTGGGTATAGTTAATAGGGAACTTATGCTCCACATACTTGTCTTTTCTAGCAGTAAATATGATTATGGAAAAGAAGCTTATACTCCTCTAAAAATTTTCAAACAGGATTTCTGTACATGATTGCTTTCTTGCTCCATCACAAACCTCAGTTTTGCATTGTGTACTTCACGAGACAGTTTTGATGGTCCTCTGATTTAGCAACATGCTTACTGAAAACAGAAAATCTGGTGAAGAATAAAAGATTTTTTTACTTACACAGTAAACCATGAGGTTTGTATTAAGATTTGGATGGGCTTGCAATGTACAGTTTGCTCTAAATTGCTGCAATTCCTTTTACTAGTATTGAGTTTCAGTGCAATTCTTGAAGCAGCTGCTACTGGTCAAAAGGACATTTTGTAAATATAAGTCTGGATTATCTGTGCAAGTAAGTGTCCAAGTTTAAATCCTCTGCTCCCCACCACAGAGAAAATGAGTGAGGCTGGTTTTAAAAGGATCCTTTGTGTAGAACAAATGGAGTGGAGAGAATTTGCCTTTCAGCTTTTTTCCTGGTGCTGTATCCAGATAATTTGTTAACATCTGTGGTCTTTAAAGAAAATGCAAATTCTTTCATTTTAGACTTAGATAAATTTCTTAATTAGGAGGGTCAGGTTTCCTAAATCAAACCTGGTATATTAGAAAAAGAAGAGTAAGATGTCCTCTAAACAATAAGTATTGAAGTGTTGAATGATTTTGCGTTATTTAAAATTAGACCACTTAATTTGTATTTAAGTCTAGGTAAAAGTCATCTGGCTTAAGGTCACACTTAAGTATTTGTTTGCCTAGCTTGAGGATGTGACTCACTCACTCATGTGCATAAAAAACCCAAACCAACAAACCAAAAATCTATGAACAAAGTAAACAAATCTATAGATCCATTTTTCTTTGCTTGGTTCTCTTTTCTTAACTAAGCAACATACTTCTTCCAGTCAAAAGTATTCCTACATAGGGACAACTGCTCTGATGCTTAAGGGTGTACACCTGAGTTATCCCTCAGAAACAAAGACTCCTTCCACAGAAGAAGCAAGGAAAGCAAGTGAAGGCACTAATGATTAAACTTAATAAAATGTGTAGCTATGGTTGCTTGTTAACATGTAAAACTGAAATCTCTCTTTAATATCCAGGCATATTTTAAGAATGTAATTCTTAGGAGCTTATCTTGGAGCATTGGGAAAGAAAATTTTGGAACATACTGACACAAATCATGACATTTTAGACAAGGTAAAAAATATAATATATTAAAAATATTAAACACTGGAAGGAAGCTTCAGGTGAGTAGCTCGTGAATTATCTGATTGAAAAAAAAAATCAAACAAAGCCCAGGTTGTGGTTTCCCAGCAATTCTAAGTACATGCACCTGCCAGAGACAGAATTCTAGCCTGGAGTTCCCACATACCAAACAGCCACCTTTTCCCTGTGTCCTCTCATACTGTCTCTTGTTTCTTCCAAGCAGTTCTGTGTATGATGCACTATCACATTAAACTAATACAATTCATTTTACAAGCTAATTGCAAATGGTGGACACCTACATAAAATTAAAATTTTTCCTATTCATATCCATATTTCTATGGATTCAAAGAACTGGCAGTACTTTTGTGTGATTCTCTGTCATGCAAAATTATTTGTAAATAATATAATCCAGTAACTCTGAGATAAGATGAAAAGGATAGCAGTGGAGGAACAATTCAGTGAGCTAGTCATTAACTCTAAAAACCCATTTAAAATATAGCTTAGTCTGTAAACGAAAATAAGATGATTTGCCTTATCCTGGTTTCTGTTTGAAAATCACCACCCACTGCTGTATAACTGCCAATCTCTGTGAGACAAAGGCCTAAAAAAATTGCCTGGTGCTCTTACTTCGGCAGGATGGAATCTCACAGTATTTCCAATATATTCCATCCTCGTGTTCTGCAATGTAGCACCACGGGCTGACATCTCCATCAGGATTTCTGAAATACAAAAATCGAGTGAGTGAGTGAAAGGCATCAATTTTTTTTTTCAAAAACCACATATAAGTCAATCTTCTTAAGCTTCAGTGACAACACTATTTTTGCCCTAATACCTCCTGTTGGACTTATATACCAAAAAAAAGCAAAAGTGGTCAGGAAGTTTAGACAGCTTTGCTTATTACAGTACACATCATGCATAAGAAGCCCAAAATGTCTAAAATGTAATATCTTTTTACTTTAAGTTTAAAAGGTGCAGAGTTATTTCTCATAAGTACTGATAGAAATATTTTCAGTCCCACATCCTGTGTACAGGTTCCATAGGCTCCTAAACTTGATTTTTTACTTTGGTACAAAATAGTTCAGACTCCAACTTTCTGTATGTATGGTGACAAAAACATTTAGCTGATAAAGTCTTCTTTAGGAAAGACTGAGTTATTTTCTTTCCCTTCAGTAAAAGTCAGTAAACCTGTTCCAGTGACCTCTCAGTATGGATGGGTAATTCCTTATGTGTCCATGATGATGACTATCATTATCATTACCATTACCATTATAATTATTTGCTGTTGTGTAGCTCACTTACAAATGCATACCTAATTAGTCATTATATTATTTAAAGTCTTTTCTATGTACACTTTGAAAAGCTATTCACATTGAAAAGATCTATTAAAGAGAATAAATTGTTGTTTTGCACAGTCAGGTTGAAATGTGACCTTTTCTTTTAAGTATGACAAGTTATAATCTCTTTATCATGAATTTTGGCATGAATTCTATTAATTACACCCCCCTACTGAAGTGTCAGTTCAGCTGCATGTTGTCATTTATGAGTATTAACAACTCCTTTGTGGGAGATCCCATTTTAGAAATGCTGTGGATATTTTTTGGTCAAGTAACAGACTGCTGAAGACAACTGGTGAGTTGAGTTCAATTTGGATGACTAAAATGTTGCTAGTGAGGCTTTCAAAAAGATTAGTAAAGGTGGTGGACAAGGAAAGCCTAAGAGTGGTATGATAGGAATTTAAGTGGAATGGCAGAGCTTCCAGTAGCTGAAGAAAGTAGAAGACTAAAACCAAGAAAAAGCTTGTACTCAAATTAACACATTTTCCCTTGTTTTCACAGTTACAGGAATTTTTGCATTTACATCTTCATGACAGAAACCATATGTCTGGAATTGAATCGTGATAATGACACTCTGCATATAAATGCCTTAAAATGTGAGGAAATTGTAGAGAGACATGATTAATGTCTTTAGAAATCTTTGTCTTGAACCTCAAAAGTGCATACAGTTAGAAAACAAGTGTCTGTCTTTCAGCCTTCATAATTTTGTTATGGTTGAAATGAGGTTTAGTGGAACATGACGAGGCATTTCCATCTTAACAGGGTGTTTTTGCAATAAACAAAGTATTCCAAGTAAGGACCTCCCATGGAGAGGTAACATGCTTCTGGTTAATGCTTTAAGTGTAAAACTAGATTATTCAAACGTTGTCCCTAAAATCAAATCTCAAAGCAATATATTATGCCTTAAAAAAGCCTTCTGAGATATGTGCTGCCTCAGAGAGGGGAAGATCAACTCGTCCATTGTCACCAAGTAAATGAATGTCAGAGAAAGAGTTGAAACAGCTGTGTCACAGGCCTCAACATTTGTATGCTGAAGATATGCTCTGGCCCTCTTAGTGACTTTCCAAGCTTTCTTTCAAGACAATTCGAAGTTAAAAGTCATCCATTAGTTAGGATTGTTATTCCAGAATATTCCCAGGCCAAGTGATACAGCTTAAGGAAGGAAATAGCTAACCTTCCAGTCAAACTCCATCCCAAAGAGGATAATCTAACACCTAGCAGATTGAGGTCACAAAGCTCTATTTGGTAATTAAGTCCTTTCTCAGGTTTATATATCAGATTATAGGCTTCTTGCTTCTTGTAACACTTACCAAATTCTCATTTGCTAAGTAAAGCAGGACTCTAGCAAGAGTTTCTTGAATATCTGAGAAAACATTCAGATTGTTACGCACGTTTTTGCATAGCTCATACAACCTGTTTTTCTTTGTACTAACTGAAGCATTAGCCCAAGTTGGCTGCCAAAAGTAAGATCCTGTCTGTCTAGAATATTGCCACACAGCAACAATCAAAATTACCTTCTTCATTCTGCTATTTGTATCACAGGCAACTCAGTGGCCACTGGACTTTTCATAGCTCCATATTAGTATCCTTGCTGAGACACACAGCTCTCTACCTGTCATGAAAATCCTCACACATTTGGTGCTGCTGGGCTGAGGGAGCCTGTGAAGTTGGTATGAAATGTTTTTTAATGGGAAGACAGCCCTTCCAGTGCTCACATGCCAATCTGGTACTAGACAGTTTGATATCTATCTGCTTTCCAGTAAAAACAATGCCCAACTTCTACAGAACTTCTCTTGTAGATAGTTCCTGTAAGGTGCTGAACTGATTCAAAAAAGAGTCAGTTCTGAAGCTGGCAATAATGCTTTCTCATTTATGGCTGAAAACAGAGTACACTGGTGCAACACACTGAAGTGTTATTTTGAAGCAGTGCTGCAGCCATTGGAAAAGATCCCAAGTATGTCTTTTTCTTCCCTGTCCTACACCAATATTTTTCAATGAGAAACAGCCTCCTGAATCATCAAATACTCTGGAAATGTCACTGACTCCTTTCATCAATGTGCTCTTCTGTCCACTGCATGTCACAAGATCTCTTTTCTATGATTTCTTACTTACTCTCCATTAACTGTCTGGCTCTGGCCATATTTTCTTGAATCCAGTTTCTGATTAAATAAGGAAAGTTCTTGGATCAAGATCCAGGACCTTACATTCATGATATAGCAATTCTGCTGAACTCCTGCATGTTAATTTTGTCCCATTTATATAGCTTTATATTACTTACAGAGAAATGATTTCAACATGAATGTAGGAAGTGTATAGTCTCTACCCTAAAAAGCCTATAACCTGCTAAGTAAAAGCATCTTTCAGGAGAACAGGTGTGCTTTGAACCTTCTCACAAAGGAGACATTACAGGTTTTCTTGCTATGCCTCAGATAACTCAGTTCTTAAGCTCCTGGTTTAAACATCTCTGTCCCCAATTCCCAGTGAGAAAGAGAAGTGGATCTGCCATGGTTTAAGCTGGTATTGTAACCCCTGACAGTTGAGCTTCTGAATTCAAATAACAATTCCAACTCCCTGAACAGCTTATGCTCACTTTGAATTTTTAGTGACTACATAACTTTCATAAGCACAAAACTTGGAAACAGAGTGTATAACAGAACCAGGCTTGTGTGTGAGGATAAAAATCACAACGTCCCAGAGACTCCTCCAGACATTCACTGTGCTGCTGTACTTCTGATTTGGATCAATTTTTTTATTATCTTCACCTTTTCATTTAAGTAATCTATAGTCTTTCTAGTCTGTCATGCCAAATTATAGATTGGACACATGATAAGGACTGTGCTGAAAAAGTGTACAAACTGGGTTGAAAAAGTAATTCCACTAATGGTGCTTGTAGATCCAGGGTACTGATTACAGAATAAACCAAAGCCTGAGAGATATCCATGGTTATGACATTCTTCACTGCATGACAGGAAGTTTCCTAATTTTGTGTCAACCACTCAAAGTAACACTGGGTATACAGGCAAAGTTAGTAGCAATGTGATATTTCTTACCTGCAGTAGTTATGCTCTCCAAGCCCTCCCTCCCCATTGGGATATTTCACAGTATTATAAGGATGCTCAAAGGTCTCATTCCAAAAAAGACAAGGTTTCCCTGCATATTGGGAAGTCTGGTTCTGAGTGCCACGATAGTCAGCCCCATTTGCTGTATAACATTCTGGGAAGAAAGAGAAATGGAAAAAGAGAAAGAATGTATACAGGTTTAGTGTTTGGTTGTTCTTCCCTCACTCTCCACCCCATCTCCAACAGAACATGTTTGCTTTTACTAATATGTTTCCTGCATTGTTTAAGCAACTAAACATGCTGGCTGGGATTTTAACTTTCTCTCAGAGTCAAGCCTCTATTGGAGAGATTATGATGTCATTACTTTAATAAACAATGTATAAAACCAGTGATTTACACAATGAACATGCATTTTCTCAATAAGCAGACTACATTTTTTACTGTTTCCCTGTTTTACTCATTAGAATGACTCTGTAACTTGTTAATTTTCCAAAAATGAAATTATATGACATTATCAATCTGCCACTTATTAGCATATTACCCAAAATCTCATGTCACTTCAGATGAATCTTTAAATATCTGTACTTTATAAAGTGAAAGACTTTGTAGGCATGGACCTTACAAACATTTATATTCTGATTTTGAAAAATTCTTGGGCATTATTTTCCTCTGGTCTGAATTGCCTTAGAAAGGCACCTCCTTTGGTAGAGTATAACCATGATACTGTGATTTGCCACTAGAGCATTTATGCTTCCAGATTAAAAATTATGGGTCAGTATTCTTCTGCCTTGCTCATATTTTCTCCCACTTATGTTTGTTTTCCTGGCTTCCTAGTACTCAGCAAGTTAGAAACCAAACCAGAGAATGATTTCTTTAGCCACTAAATAGACTACCCATTTCTCAGCTGAACTACACATCTCATGCTGCCTGGCTTTGCTGTCTTGCTAATCACAGAATCACAGAACAGTTTGGGTTGAAAGGGACCTTAAAGGTCATCTAGTTCCAACCTGCCCTGCCATGGACACCTTCCACTAGACATCTTCTGACCAAATAAATATTCATATGCATGAACAATTTTACCTTTTGCCAAAATTGCTAAACATTTTTGATTACATTATGCACTGTGAGGGTGATGAGCACGGGAACAAGTTGCCCAGAGAGGCTGTAGAATCTCCATCCTTGGGAATACTCAAAAGCCACCTGTACATGGTCCTGGACAACCTGCTTTAGGTGACTGTGCTTGAGCAGAGCAGCTGGATGAGATGACCTCCAGAGGTCACTTCCAACCTCAACCGTTCTGTGACTCTGTGATCATCTCCCAGAAATAATTGTTATAATTAATGTACCATAAGTAAGTCCATCCTGTCTGTAACTAATACTTGCTAACATTTGTCATGCTTGCATTTATTTCAGAATAGGATTAAAATATAACAGTCCATGACAGAATTAAAACTACTGTGTTACACTGCTGTAAACACTTCTTTGTACAGAATAGCTTTAGTGGGGAAAGTCACAAATACTTCCTACCAACTGCAGGCTGTGAAACCTCCTGTTTGATCTGATAGTATTCTCTGTAGAAAGCATATTACAGCTGCAGAGACGTTCTACTGCCCTGAGGGAACGGGAGAATGCTCTGAAGTGAAGTATGTGCTGATCTCAGATGTCCTTCATGAGACAGAACTTAAAAAACAAGGTTAGAAAGACCTGTGTGGCTGCAGTTGGAAGAGGGAAAAAACCAACCCACAGCTTAATACTGATATTAACAGTTCACCTTTTTTTTTATTTAGAAATACTGTGGGAGATGGAAAAATGTATTATTAAAACCATGCCTTTGAAATTAGTTTAGTCTGGGCCCACAGATATCAGAATGGTGCAATTATAATAATTATTTCACAGTTCTATTACACAGCAGATGAAAGACGATGTTTTTGTGCCTTCACTGTGCATTTTCATGCCTAGGCAAGTTAGGATTTCAATTAAATGAAATTTTGTTGCTGAAGGCACACAGAAGAGGTGTCTGCACAGCCATTAATGCATCTGCTATCATCTTTGGACAGAAAGCTATATAATTTAACAAAAACAAGCTTCAGGTCAATACTCCTCCTTACTGTAATTTACCTGACTGCCTCAGTCATGCAGGTGGGCTGCATACATTTACTTGAAAATGCAAATCTGAGTTTCCAGTATTCAAGCCACCACAGGTATTTGTGTAAACATATAAAAAAACCCACTGTAAAGTCACCAGTGTTGCAACTTTCTCCAATACCTCTCTTGCTTGGCAGTTAATATAAAAGCTTTTGTATGTTATAGCTGAAAAATATAAGCTGATGAATTTAGCAGAAAAGAGAGGAAAACATAATCAAACTAGATCAACAAAATAATGTACAGAATAAAGAAGCAGTTGAGAGAAGTGATAAACACGTCCAGAAAAGATGTCTACGTCAGCTTTGTACTATTACTTTTTTTTTTTGCTTCTCACTTCTAAATGAGAAGCAATATATACTAACATCTACTCAGAAATGCAAGGAATGTTACAATACCTGAATGAGATCTGGCACACAAACTAAACTGAAGTTGACACCAGTCCATTTTAGGATCTGCTAGGACTGGCCCATGCTTTAACTTGCAGTAGCGACTGACTTACATTTTCATGTCAGCTTTTTTTAACTGATTTTCTTCAAACTTCATTGCACCAGGAACAAAAGGAAGAGTCAGATCTCTCTTCATTCCTCTTAGCTGTAGCTTTTTGTTCCCAGGACAACAGGTAGCTGTATCAATGCCTCCTGTGTTCTTTGGCAATATCAAGAGATTTGGGAAAAATGTGCCAGCTGAGCTGTAGTGAAGCTCCCCTGGCTCAGTTACCATCTAGATGTGGAATGGGGAGGCAGTGACATACCATGCAAAATCACTGATTATCCCCAAAACGCTGAAATGAAAACTTTTAGTTATGGAATTTAGTAGCTGTTACCAAATGAAGTACATCGACTTTTGTGTAACAGGGAATTTGCTAGGAAATGTTCATTTTGTTAAGGATTAATAATGATTTTGCCAGAGCACTGGAGTTCAGTCTTTTCAAATAAATATTGGCACTTAAAAAATCAGGTCAGTTGTCCTTTCTATGCTCCCTCCTGGCTTTTTGTGCACCTGCTCACTGGCTGAGCATGGGAAACTAAAAAGTCCTTGATTCAGAGTAAGCACAACTTGGCAACAACTAAAACATTGTTATCAACATTATTTTCATATTCAATACAAAACACAGGACTGTACCAGCTACTAAGAAGGAAATTAACTCTATACCAGCTGAAACCAGGACACAATCCTACCTTCTTTTACCTTGAACAGGCAGCTTTGAGATCTGCTGAGATACATTTTGTACAGTTACCTATAAAATTCCTAGTAGCATAGTTAAAGATCTCAGCACATTAAGTATCTTGGCAGTAAACAGCTGAATTCTTCTATTTGTCACATGCAGTGATTTCATCTTATTTTGCTGCATGACAGCCAAGACACTACCTTAGCAATCTCACCATGAAATTAATATTCCCAGTGTGTTGAAGGTGCAAAGTAAATGTTTCACCTTCAGACAGACCAGTCCTCTCTATTTCAAATCCATGGGCACCACTTTAAAAAGTTCTAAGAGATTCTGGAGAACAGGAGGTTAGAACCCCCACCCTACTTTTCATCTCGCACCACTGGTGCAATAGTTCTGTGAAAAGATGAGCTTAAAAAAGGTCAGCCAGATCTGTCTGCACAAAACTAAGTCAGAAGAGGTCATCTGAATCAAACAGTCAGAAAAGACTGGACTGAGCACTATTGGTAAAACTCTTGGGCTTCCTCTAATTACCTGGTTTCTCTTTGGTAGATTATGAAGAAAGGAGGGGGTAAAGAGTAAACCAACCAGCAACAACCACCTCTCTACTGTTGTGGCACCCACTGGATCCAGCTGCCTTATGTTGACTGATATGCCCACAATACTTTAGGCTATGAAGCCCTTCACTTGGAACCCAACGTCAGAACTGTGACTCAAGTTCCATAAATTTCAGCAAGCCTTATTCCTTAAAGTTTTCCAAGACTATGATAAACTGTGACAGAACTTGCACTGTATCCAAGTCCTCTCCCAGTGGAAGAACAGACACTTGGTGGACACTAAAGCTCACAGCTTCCTAGAAGGCATCAGTGCCACTGTTCTTGATAGATTTGCCACATGGTTTCTGTTCACACACCCAAGGCTCAAACTATCCTGTCAGCCATAAATCTATATTAAACCCCAGTGTTTCAGACAAGACACAGAGAAAGCTGTGACCACTCAAATCTTGAAGTGCCTGACCTCCTCATATTTCTAAGACCTTACTCAGCTGCATTTCAGACATAGTCTGAAGTAGAGGCTTATGTCAAATCTGTGATTAGAATCAGTGTCTGTGATGATTTCACTCTATTAACTGCCTAATGACCCTGCTGTTTCTACTGTTTCGTGAGAATGTCTGTAAACAGAATTAATCAGAGATTAATCAGAGAACCTTTGCAGTGGTTCTAGTCATGAAAAACTGGAAGGTTCAAACAGGTGCTGTTCAGGATAATGAGCCTTGGTAAGAAAACCTGGACAGAAGTTTGTTGTCAGGGCTGTTTTGTTTTCAACATATCAGGTGCCATGGCTGATAGAAAAGTAATTTTTTTAAATGAATGCTGAGATTAGGTAAGTATGTATTAAGTAGCAACTGCTAGAAAGAAAAAGCAGAAATCAAGACTAGGGATATTGTCCACTATGAGTGAATGCTCGGTGTGGGATACAGGTTCACAATTAGGTTTATTAGAGCCAGATCAACATTTGGAAGATCAAACAGCAGCTGTCGTAGAAATTTTTTCCATCTGTGTCGGTTTCTTCTTCAATGTAAGGACCTTACAATGATCATTTGCCTTTGTTACTTTGGGACTGTATGGCTGCCTGCACTCCACATGGGCGCCACTTTAGAATCGTTTGAAAAATTAAGGTAGTGCAGACTTTTCTACTGAA